GTCGTGAAGTGGTGTTCATTTTTCTAACTACTCCAGTGTTCCGATGAGTTGAACGGAAAAGCCAAAACGATTGCTAGTTTCTGATTGCTTCCGGTTCTGGTGAGTGTGTATCTCATGTGATTCGAACCCATGTCGTTTGTATTGAGCATTTTTTTATTTCCCATGTTGGCTACGCCGTAATATGCAACCACTTCCCCGTTTTATTGTGATTTTGAGAGTGTTTAATGATGTCTTCCTCGCCCGTCACGCCATGACCCAGTTTCAACCACACGGCCATTTTGCAACAAGTGCGTGACCCTCGGCGTGACCCGACTGACTATATGATCGTTCTGTTCAACTGTTAAGCTAGGATTTATTACCGTTATTATCATTATATTGTCACATGATTTGTTTTACCTTATGTGTAATGTCTTAAGTATCTTTATTGTAATTTGTATATACCAATTCGTATATACCGAGGAAACGACCCCGATTGAAGATCATGTATTTTGTGACGTCACCAATTCGTGTGTAGGTACGGCTTCTAGATCCGTGCCAATTTGTTTTTTGTATGTTATTATAATCACTACTGAGTAATACCGGTAATCGACAATCTTGAAACGCAGCATGACTGGATTGCGCAACCGTGATCATTTTATGCTCGGCAGTTGTGTTCGTTTTTACTTCGTTTAAACACCGTCCCGTGTTGAGGGACGGTGGTTTAAAATAAAAATTTTTTACCAATAAAATTAGGAAAAAAAGTGTAATTTGACTTACCAGGTTCGTTTTTTTTTTTTTTTTTGAAAAAAAATTACTCTGGGTGACAATGCAAGTTTTAGGCGGATAAATTAGGTCACATTACATTCTACTTGTCTCAGTATTGACTGTCTCGCCGTACTTCAGACGGGACTTCACACTTTCCATTGTGACATGTAGATGCTAATAGGTGTTTTTGAAGACAATGGCACAGTATTTTACGTGATTTTACAAGCTCTATGAACTTTGTATGCGGGACAATGACATCGCAAACGTACACAATGCCTTTAGACCTATCATAATAGGACCGAGTCGCGTGCTCACCGGATGCGTCCCAGGGACTCACCAGTTAAAAAATTCATGCGTCCCACAGAAAAACTATGCTTCCCGGACGCAAAATTCCGCGTTAACGCAATCCCTATGTCATTCACTTTTAAAAGATACACAGCTGTGAAATCCGGCCACAGTGAAATGCATGATAATATTTGAGTGCATGATGCAAGTTGTTATGCTCACAGATCTATGAACAAAGATTTTCAACTGTCACACCTTGAAAGTTTGGGTGTACATGTATAAACTGTGAACTAATAAGACTTTAAGAATCCAAGCAATCATTTCACTATTTTGCAAAGACTGACCCATGATTGAGGCAAAGCACATCAATGAAATGAAAACATAGAATCAAGATCTTGTGCGGTGCCTGCACGCTGCTACAGGATCAGTGACAGTCTTGATGAATAGTTAGACCAACTGTATATTTTTTTTCAATAGTGTACCACATACTGAAGACATCCCTGACAGTGGGAACTATGGAAAAGCTACAAAAAATGCATCGTTGATTCTTTGCTATTGCAATACAATGCTATAATTGGTTTATGGTCATTGGTCACATTCTATATTGACTCTAACTGAACACATGCTTTAGGGTTTTCCATCAGATCTACATGTATGCATTTTATGCAAGTTCAAATATGGGACTTCATAGCAGATTTCTGCAAGGTTGTGTGGGAATACATTGTGCAAGCAAAACAGTACGATTCAGGCGATGATATACGCACCATAGACACAAGGCTTGCTGTACAGTATTTGGTTAAAAAGGTTCATGCTCCAAAATGCACAGATTCAAAGCATTTGGTTTGTGATTATGACAGAAAAATTGTAATGATACATAATTCAGCATCGTTTGATTCGTACTGTCTTGATGAAGCCAGCCTTTCATCCTAATGAACCTGTGCAGGATTGTGTTAGGAAAAGCTGTATTTGACCTCAGTTCAAAAAAGTGATTAGATTGGGCATGCAAAGGAGCTGGATCCATCAGTGTTACAGTAACAACAAGGCACATCAATTTCAAATTTTCAAAATAGCTTAAATAACAAAAACGTTGAGTTTGATTTCATCCACAATGAATATAGATTTACAGTGGAAATTCTACTATGGTACATGTATAATGGGTGAGGTAAAAGCTTAATAAATGGATTGAAAAAAATTGAATTTTTAGGGGAATATGTAAAATACTGATAACATCTCATGACCTGTCTTTAAAACAACTGTAACTGAAAGAGCCACTCACCAAAAGTCCATAGCCATCAGGTTTTCTGCGCTTCTCTGGAGATCCTTTATCTTCTGAGGAGCTACTTTTCCTTTTCCGATGTTTATGTTTTCTGTCCTCTTCCTCCTCATCACTGCTGCTTTCACGATGAGATCTTTTGTGCTTTTTCTCTTTCTTCTTCTTTTTTTTCTTGTCTTTCTTCCCAAGATTATGTCGAAGCTAATATAGAATATCAATGAAAAAAGTAAATTGGAGAAGAGTAACGGAGCTGATTAAAAAAAAATTTATGATTAGTCTTTTCAAATGTTTAACTTGATTCTCATTTTTAAAAATTTTCAGTCAGTATTAGTGACTCATAAAAATTCAAATTTATTCATTTTAGTATTTATCTTCTGTAGATACCTGGTGTTTTTGAAAGCAAGCTAAATGCTTATTGGACTATACGTGAAGGTTGGAAATTAAAACACTCTTTCTATATAATTTGAAGTGCAAGTTACTTCAAAACCAAGTAGAAGGGATACTTCATTTGATAACTAACTCCTAACATGACAACACATAGCAACAATATTTCTATTTAGTCTTTGTTCTTGTGCTAAGTTCAATTTAGTTCACAACTACTAGTCAATAGTGATGGTTTCTACATCGCCCCTAAAAAGCAGATTGTAAGTACTTAGTAATGGATGAAAATGGAAACTGAATAGCTGAATGTCAAGCACCAACCAGGGGAGGAATTTATGTGTTTCTTTTGCCAAACAAGTCAAAGTTATCAAGACGAAATAAGTCGGAGCAAGTTACCAGTGAAGGGAATATGGGATGTCCTTAAACCTGTGAAGTTTGTAAAGGACAATTTCATTGTTAGCTGAACACACGATGCTACAACACCATGGTTACATTCATTGCACAGTCAATTAGAAACAATATACTCCCAAGGATTTTAATACAAACCATAGTTCCAGTAGCCAACAAACAGGTGCTTTACAACACTATTCAACGCTGGTTACTGGGTAGGCTCAAGGACGCGAGATAGACCGGCTTAGCATGGCAAGTTCATTGTTGTATATGATCAAATCATCTACATTATACAACAAATACAAATGTATGAATTCTTGATGTTGGCTTCAGTCTAGGCCAATAAGTGAACAATATCAGCACATACCATTTCCTGCAGCTGTTTCATTTTAACTGGGTTATTCAGCAAATCTTTTTTGCTCTGCTCCTCTCGTTTCCTGCAACACAGAGATAAAACTGAAACACATTCGCTGAGCAGATACATTGTACACCTACATGTAAAACTTACTACCCTTTCAGTTTTATATGATAATTAGACTTTTGGATTTGGAATGACATCATTCATCATGGCATGCTTGTATTTCAAACTGTTTTATCAGATATAAAACTTGGATAACCAAATCTTAGAAATGTAATTTTAGCACACAACTGTGTTAAACTTTGCAAAAATACCAGCATGGTAACATTCAGCAGTTGCAATGATCATTTTTACTATTCAAAAATCAGACAAAATCAAATTGGGTATGCATAAGAAAGCTGTGCTTTTCAAGTTTTATCATTGTCGGCTATGGAGAGTTCAATTTTAGTCTTTAGCAATACATGAAACAGTCAGCAATACATGTAACAGCTAACAGCATCAAATTTTAAAGACACACATTTGGCAAATTGTTACATTTGTTGCATTGTCTGCATGTGTAGTCTATGAATCTGTAACAGACTTTAGAGTACACTTCTTAGTTACCAACGAATTACTTTGTAATTTCAATGGTGCAGATTATAAAAATACATAATATGGTTTGCAATCTAATGCTGCTGATAAGCATTTCTATAATGTGCCCAACATTATATTAATACACAAAACAACAACTAGAGAATATTATAAATAATTTAATGCTGAAGTTACTGAATGTGACTCTTTAATTTGATGAAATGTTACTTACTTGATAGCAAATAACGGATCCTCTCTGACTTTATTCGCCATATCAATAGTCAGATTCACACTGGAATTATCAAAGATTGCTCCAACACTTTGATCATCTTCTTCCGCAACAACATGTTCGTTATTTGCATCCATGATACTTTTGTCAACAGATTTACCAAGAAGATAATCTTCCCTGTTCACTTGATTGCCCGCACCTTGGTACATCCAATCTAACTTGTCACTCTTCTTTCTATGGAGCAACGATGAAATCAAAATGATCACTTTAATCTGAGGCATACATGTACTAACTTTATTTTAGTCTAAAATTGTACAAACATGTATGAACAATGATTACCTATTAAATTCCGTCAGAATGTACACGTGTATACTACGGTATAGTGTAACATAGAATCTATACAGTAATTCTATCCCCTCACTATCATTTACAATCTACTTATTAAATTAAGAATGGTCAATGCAGAGACTATTTTAAATTGGAATGCCTTTCCTCAATGACATCATATTTAATAATCTACACCAATCAAAATATTTTTCTTAAACGATTGACTTTTTACAATACCAAATCATATTGAAGTTTTGAACTGGTACAAATGTAAAAGCCATCAATTAATAAAAAATTATATGGAATACATGGTGAATCATTTGTTGTCAGAAAGGAAAATTTCCGTCAAATACAATCATACATGTATTCATGGCCAGTAGAGAATAGACTTGATTTATTGCACTAATAGGTAAAATGCGTTTATATGTTATAATCATAAAAGCTGTTAAAACTCTTTCAGTACCCATATTTTACTTTTTTAAAAGTGCCAATTGATGCAAAATAAATCCTTCGAAAATAAAACATTTGTAAGACATAAAACAGTTTCACCAAATAAGCATTATGCTCACCCTGATGTGAGCCAGT